TTGGAACACAGCTATCATGTCCAGTGGTGGGATTTAAATTTTTTTTACTACCGATTCTGTGGGTGTGCCTGTGGCTTGGTGGGCATGGCAGGGGAAAGATACTGCAAAATCTCCAGTCAGGGGTGGTATTTGTCAGTTCTCCAAATTACTCAAAATTTTTGCTACCGGTTCTCCAGAACTGGTCCGAACCTGCTGAATACCCACCTCTGATCATGTCACCCCAAGTCCTTCTTTTCATTAAACTAGATATACCCAATTCCTGCAACCATTTTAGCCTTCAGTCTTTGTTGCAACCATTTATTGTAACAACAATATGGAGGTCATTTGGCACGTCTTTCTTTGCAGTTTATGTTGGGAAATAATTCAGACAGAAGCAGATGGATCCAGAAGCTTCAGAAAAAAGTGGTAGATGTGAAAATAGTTTCATTTTTAGAATATTGCTTAAAATCTGATCATAGAAGGTCAAAGCAACTAACAGTCATTGTCCATAATTCAGATCCCAACAGGTGACTTCATTGTAGAATTGGAAATATTTAGCAAAATAACAAGAAACAGACAATAGAAGATTGCATAAATAAACATTCAGATTAAGATTACTTGTGCTAATGTGAAATATATCAAACAAATACAAAACATAATGAGATTATAAAATTGTTATTATTATCCATCTGTGATCTCATCAGAAATGTATGAAGTGAAGAAAATACTTTTTTGGATGGAGAATAAGCAGTTGTGTTACTGGTAATGATCTTTGAACTCTGTTGGGAAGGGTTTGGATCACAGGGAACAGGCAATAGTAACATATTTTTCATATAGAGAAGACAAGGGGAGTCAGTGAATGATATATAGAAGTAATTATTTTAATGAAATTTTGGAACAAATATCAATATGTAGAAACATTGACAATTGAACTAGTTATGGCAGCTCATAGATTTTTGTCAAGCCTATCTTTAGGGTTATTTCTCATACAGTGAAACTCTAAATAGCAATACATTACAACAAGGTTTATTCATTATTTCTGAAAACAAATGACATACTTGCTTTGTTGGACTTTTCACTGTACCTTTTTAAAAAAAGCTTATAATTTTCTATTCCTGTATGCATATGGACCTTTCACTAACAAAGATCTTACACAGAAAATAAAGTAACAAAAAGGTCCTAGGAATCAATATCCCAAGAATTTGATAATATAGGATTACAGTTTAGAATTTATCTGGCAAATGCCTTTAAATATTATTTCATGGAACAAGACATATTTAAACATGCAAAACAGTCATGGTGACTCACAATTCATCACGTTCCTGTGTCTCACTGGTAACTGTGAACGACATTTAGCTGGGTAGCATATTGTCAACACTTTGCAAAGGGATAAGATCAGAGTTGCAAAGACTGCATAGTTATCAATTAGGTATTCTTAATATTAAAAAGTAAAGGTTTTCCTGTCTGGTTGTGTCTGACTCTAGGGCATAGTGCTCATCTCCATTTTTTGGCCAAGGAAGCCAGCTTTGTCCAAAGACAATTCCTGTGGTCATGTGGCCAGCATGACTATAAGCCAAGGGCACACAAAAGATGTTACCTTCCCACCAAAATGGTACTTATTAATCTAATTGCATTTGCATGCTTTCAAACTGCTAGGTGGGCAGGAGCTGGGGCAAGAACGGGAGTTCAACCCATTGCATGGTGCTCAGGTCTCGAACCCAGGTTGTCAGCTTTCCAGCTGACAAGCTCAGCATCTTTAATCACTGAGTCAATGTGCCCCCTATTCTTAATATTAATCTGGAATAATTGCAAAATCTTGGGAACTGAAATTGGAATTTCCAAGCCTCGTTTATAGTGAGTTGATCAAGCATCACTTTGAATGGTTTGAAATGCTTTTTCTCAGGTACAGTATTTGGCAACCTGGGCTAAGTTGCATTTCTTACCCCCTGCTATCACTTGAGTGTTGAAGCCTGTTATTTCTTCCTTTCATTTTCTCCAACCTGTCACATAAATATTATTTGATGGTGCAGGAATGGCTACATGTTCAAATGCTGGTTTCAGTTCACATTTGTTTTATTTTGGGAGGAAAAGTTGAGCTGTTTCTGTAATGATTCCTGAATTATTTTTTTCAAACAAGATTCAAATTTATTTCTGAAGATGATTTGGAAGTGACACTTAGAACAATTGGTCTTCAACCTTCAGAAAAGTGCAAGCACCCCATTCACTTACTGTATATATTTGTGGATAAATCAAGAACCAGGCCTGAAAATATTCCCCACAAATTGGGTTTGGCTTATCTGTGGACCAGAGCTCAGATTTTCTAAAACCTGTCATGACCTTAAAATTGCACAGTTTTATAAATGATGATGTAACACTTTGCAGTTTTCCTCCTATTGCTGTGGTTGAAACTCTGAGGATGAGCTTATCTGCAGGTGACACATTTGTTCATGGTTGAATTGTACAGTATATAGGTTATCACTACAGCTAGTTCCACTTTTGATGCCTGTAACCTGTGTTCATTTATTTATTTACTTCTTTGTTTTGTACTATCCTTGCTTACAGAATTTAAGATGGTGTGTACGATGGTACTTCCAAATTATATTTAGCTTACAACAGTCCTCTGAAGTGGTTTGATATACATACTCACACATACTTCTATGCATATATTTAGAAAACTATTTCCTCCTCAGTTTCTGTTGTTCAGAGATAGTTCTTGTTGTGGGATCATTTTTGCACTACATCATTGGAGGGAAACTGTGATGATTTGGTTCCTCTGTTGTCAGTGTAATTAGTTCCCACAGCTAAATTTCACTGCTGCAGTACATTCTATCAGATTCAAGTGTGTCCGGAAAGCAACTGTATATAGGATTCTATCCCCAGACATTTTTCTTCATTATTTTTTTTAATCCTCCTATTCATAAAGAACAAAAGGCATTCTATAAAGCTGGCTATAGATCCAAGGAAAGCAAGCATATTTGACTAAAGTCGATAGCTATGGACAATTCTGTGGATAAGTAGTTACTACTTTTAGGTATATGCCCTTGTTTTCTTTACCTTTCTCCATAATTCCTCTTTGTAGAATTTGCTCTTTTGTGCAATTTGCAGAAAATTCCAAGACTGAAGGAGCTGATGGTGTCTACCTTTCTAGTTATGCACGAACTGTTCTTTATTATGGTTGAGAGAATTTTTTAAGAACTGAACTGTACTGAACCACACTGGTATTTTTTTCTTCTGACAGAGTTTCTAATGAATCCTTTTGTTCTATTAGTTATGCTAGGTAGCTAATAGTTTGGTTGTTTTACCTTTTTTTAAAAAAAAATATTGGTAGTTCCTATATACTGTACTGTTATATAGTGCTTTTTAGCTCAGTAAATGCCAGCAAGAGGACCAGTACCCTTGACACGTATTGATTGCTGCAGCATTAAGGAAAGCATAGAAGCCTGAAAATAATAAGAATAAAGGACAGACATGCTACTGCCAAAGCCAGCTGCTCAACATAGGTGAAATGGCATCTGTATTGTGATAACTCAACTGCCTATTAGCAATCTCCAAGCAGAGGTGTCTGGTGAGCGAGCGGCTGTATCAATTGAACAAACAAGCAAATAAATAAATGGCTTACTATTGGTGGGAAGGGAAGGGGAGGCAGCCATCTCCAGAAGCAAATGTTATTGTCAAAAAAGGGAATTGGACATAACAAAACTTTATTATTCTTTAGTATATGCCTGTTATACCTTGAGGGGTCCTTGGTGCTCTCTGAGGTTGGTTGTTTTCTTGCCAGATGTTTCATTACGCAGCCTAGGTAACATCATCAGCACTGGGTTAGGTAATGAAATGTCTGCAAGAAAACAATCAACTTCAGAGAACACCAAAAACTCTTCATTTCAAGCCTGAGCTACAAATATTCTCCTTTATTGTTATACTTTTATGGGCAGGAGGGGGAAAGAAAGGTACTTTGGTTTTGAGCCACGGCAGTAGTTGCCTTCTGGGTCAGTTGTGGATTACATGTAGAGAGGCAGAAAGTCCATGACATCCTACACAATTCCAAAGGTGGTTGCAACTCCCAAAGAGATAGGTTTCTCTTCTTCTTTGGAAGAACTAACATACTGCAGAGCGAGTGCTCAAATTCCCCAGAGTTCCTTCACCCCTATGGGATTTTGTCTCTCAGAATTGCAGATTTGATGAAGCCTTTGAATAAGAGAGAAAGACGATAGCACAAAGAACATAGCCTGGATCGTGACACGTCTAGTGTTATTTTTAAGAGGCATACCTGCTGCTCTCTCTTGGTCTAGCTGTGCCCTAAAGACTGTCAAGGAGACAGGGGAAAAAATGGCTGCCACCCAGAACATCCATTGAAAAGGGGCTCTTTGTGAGATGCTTTGGAAGCCCACTGAGCTTTAAAAGCAATATAGGAATAAGCGCAAATAACACACACCTTTTCATGCACGTAGATCTATACTTGGAAAGGCATAGCATTCTAGAAACAGCAACAATTCACTCCAGCTTTATTCATTCATAATAGTGCTTAAATGGGAGAACCTGTTTTTCAAAATCATTCGTCAAACTATAAAGCATTCTCCACTTTTGGTTTTCAGAAACTTACAGGGGGCATTTTTTTTTTCTGCAGAGAGGGAGAAAAAGTCTTCAGTTGTCAGTTGTCACTTGATATTGCTCATCAGATGATAGCATCCAGAAGTTGTTATCTTATGAAGTGGGACTTTCATGAGACCTTGGGAACATCAACATATTGCTGATCCTGAAATGACAACTTTGAGTTTGCACATTAGTTTTGAAAGTTCTAAATAGAACACAAATTGATTTTTCTTTCCAAAAATGAATTTCATGTAGCATTATTTTTTTCAAGTTTCAGTTTATTTATTTTTTTCACCAAAGAAGATATTTTAGGTAGCCAACAATATCAGTGAGATTATTTAGTTGCATTCTTAATTTTTTTTAAAAAAAATTCAGGCACAGTCTTCTCTGCTTTCCCCTCAAAAAATCTCATTCATTTGTTTATCTTGCAGGCTTTCTGGATTTCAGTTGCCATCATCTCTTGTGAGCACAGGTTCTATCCTGACGCTTTGTTTTACAACTGATTTTGCTGTGAGTGCCCAAGGATTCAAGGCTATCTACGAAGGTAGGATGCTATATTTCAATATGCAAACAGCACAACAGCTTGAATGGCCTGGATACTTTAAATCCCTAAGAGATTTTGCAGAAATGTTGTGAGAATATTGAGTATCTTGTTAACATTATATTGATAATGATTGGATTGGTAGTTTTGGAATGGTTTTAGATTTGTTTTAAAAAAAGAGTTTTTCTTAGAAGTTAGTTGTGCAAAATACTGACTTTATTTTATGGTTTATTTCATTTTCCAATTATCTGAGTTGGAAAAATATAGGTTTAAGTCAGATGTTATTTTTACATTCTTGTGAGAGGCAGTATTCTTATGGTACAACTTATGATACACACAACTGTATGTGTGTGTGTCAGTGTTTGTGTTTGTGTGTGTGTGTGTGTATGACAGAAAACTAGATGCAAGTATTTTTATATTTTATTTATTTTATTTGCAACATATGAAAACTGTACTCATTAAAAAGATTCTGGTCAATCTAGTAAAAACAACACAAATAATCATCAATACTTAGTCAACATTAAATCAGATAATTTTACCATCATATCACCCTGTGAGTCCAAGGTTTATTATTAACCAACGTGAAATGGTTTTAAGGGCCTTTAAAAGGCCTGGCATAATTCATGGGTCGCCATATTCCCCACTGAAATTAATGCTGTTCAAGGCATCCCCATTGACTTATTGTTAAAATATGGAGATACTTTACTCAGCATTGCAATACAACAGCCATTCAGATGGTTATCCAAATGTGGAAATGGTAACTCTGTATTACATTGCTTTTCAGTGGGATGTACATTTGTGTGTATGTTAGTAGTCAGATTGCTTTGACTGTCTCTGATAATGACAAAATGTAAGAAATAGTAAAAAGCATCTGATAGGGAAGTAGCTTATTCCATTCATAAATAAAAATAGAGAAGCAAAAAGAGAAAATAAGGCTATACTGCAAGGGTGCAATGTTATATTTATTTATCTGAAAACATTAAGCTTAGTTGCATTAATACACATTTGAGTTGACCTCAGGGGAATTCATTTTACATGCACAGGTCTGCTTTGTTGTAATGAGATTTCATGCATCCCTTCTCAAAAGTATTTTTTTATTAAATGAACACATTTATAAATAAGAATACTAATAAATTCTCAGGAGGTTTTGAAAGATCAGTTCAATTCTCTCAATATATACCCCAATGTTCTCAATATATACCTTCTTGCAACTAGCATGCCAAAGAAATGTCTAATTCAGAGCTGTTTGTCAAGTTTTGTTGTAAAGAGATTTTTTTTTTCTAGGAGTATTTTACAGGCCGATTGAATGAATGAAGTTGCATAATCTTACATAGCACAATTTTTGAGAATCCAAAAATGAATATTTGAAGCATATTTAAACTGATAGGATTCCCGTTTTGTGGCTACAGGATTAGTTTGGCTGTTAATCAAAGCAGAGTAAAAATTCTGAACTACTTTTCCATTCTGTGCTTGTCTTTATATTAGCATATGGTAATCTTTAAAGATCAGTTGAATCTTGTGAAGTTCCATTCTGAAGGAAAAACTGTAGGCCATAAAAGGCATCAACTGCAAAGTGAATGAAAGTCATATGTGTTTTTCTGTCTTTCTTCAAAGGACTTGATTTTACTCATAGTTTGCAATACTAGAAGTCCCAAGGTCTTTTACTTTTAATGCTGTAATATCACAGTGGTTATAACCATTGCCTTTCAAGCAATAGATTGGTGATTCAACACTTATTAGGATTGTCTTAATAACTATTTTTCTTATATTAATCTTTTCCCATGGTTCTCTATTTCATCAGTTTTTTTCCCATCACTGAACCTAGAAGGATTTCACCCTGAGTTCCCAGATAGCAAAAAAAAAAAAGAAAAGAAAAGCATAGAAAGCTCAGGAAATAAAAATAGTAATTCTTTTTTAAAAAGTGCTGGATCTTGAACCATCAATCTGATGTTTATAATGCCAAGGTTGCAACCACTGAGTTATTATAGGCTTCGTGGTAAATGCAGTTCTAGGAGGTATGAGAGAGAGCATGGGAAGCATTGACTGAGTTGAAAAGCTGTTGCCGCCTGTGTGAAAATGCTGAACAATTACTAAGTTCATCCCATGCAATAACCTGACATGAAAAGTGTACTTTGGAAGTGAAGCAGGAAAAAAAAATGGTTTCTGAAGTATGGTAGACAGGAACTACTCCCTTGGCATGCTCAATATTTTAGTGGGATGAATTTCAGGTCCAAATTGATCCCTATTCATTCCCTTCCCAGGCAAAGAGGTAAAGGCAGCTGGCGGGAAGAAGAGGGAAGCGGCACACCCACAGACACTACAGGATGATCATGCCTTATGGCACTCCGTTGTTATATTCATTGAATAATACATTAAACATTTGAGAGAGAGGGCAAACAGCGAGTGGTCCAAGCAGTATAATTTCCATTCTTTCTTCTATTGTCTTTGGTACAAAACTCATACCTATCTGTTAGTCTACTGGCCTATCTAACTTACAGTATCTATCCCAAAGGTGGATTTTTTTTTTTTCCGAGAGGCAACTGGACTTTCTGGTTTTTCTTTGAAGACATTTCATTTTTCATCCAAGAAGCTTCTTCAGCTCATTCTCCAGAGCTGAAAAACCTTCTTGGATGAGAAGCGAAACATCTTCAAAGAAAAACCAGAAAGTCCAGTTGCCTCATCTCTCTCTCTTTCTCACTCGCTCTTTCTCCTGTTGTGGATTATGACAGGATGATAGTTGCCTCCATTATCCTACATTCACAGACCACATGTTTTATGAACCCAGGTTTATATGCCAGTTGTAACAACAATTCTATCATTTATTTCAGTCATCCTTCCTTGCTACATTTATTTAGCACGAGAATCAGCATCCTTCCTTGCTACACTTATTTAGACAAAATGTTTGCTATTAAGTTCTTAATGGCGATGAGGGCACTGTTGGGAGACTAAAACAACAGATTTGGGATAGACTGTTATGGGTAAAGTCTTTGTGGTCATTAGCAATTGAAAACAACTTGATGGCACATAATCATCCATTCTAAAACACAGGGAGAAATCTATCTGCCACATCCTTACACAGAAATGAAATCCATTGGGCCATGACTGACAAGGTTAATACAAGATGGAGCTGATGGAATTCAAACAGTAGGCAAAAACATTAAGAGGGCTCCAATTTAATAAAGAATGCCGTAATAAAGTTTCACGGGTTGTTCAACACTCTAAATGCAGTTGAAATATATGTTAATATATATGTTTATCCTTCTTTCCTTACTGGTCCTTCTATCTTATTGATACATCATCATCTTCTTTTAATGACCCCATAATCCCTTGTGTGGTGGAATCTGAGCAACTGAATGGAGCTAGCAGGGTGTTTTAAAGGCCGGATGCCCTTCTTGTCACCAATGTGGAGTTTTGTTCAGCTGATATATGCTCAGTGTGCCTAGAGAGAGAAATACCTGCCTCTGCCTAGGACCAAACTCACAGCTTCCTGATTGTGAAGTGAATGTTCCACCTCTAGGCCACCACACCAATTTCTGTCTTATTGATACATGTCCCTATTAAATGATTTAAATGAGTATTAATATTATTGAGTATTCAGATGTTGCTCAAAAATTGTTTATCATGTGAATTATGGACAGCATCCAATATAATAGAGTCCTTCTCTGAAGGAGATGATGGTTCCTACATATGATGAATGCATATATAAAAAAATTATAAAGGTCACATAATATATATTTCCCTAATTCTTTTCATTAATGTGCTCCAAAATATTTCTCAGAACCTGGACTTGAAAATGAGCCATTGTAGTTAAGGTTGGAGGAGTCTGCTTTGCAATTGTATGTCATTCTACCACTGGATGGACAGTTAGATGTCTCCCAAACTATGTCTATGGAGAGTCTCAGGTCATGGTTGTCTCAAAAGGTGCTTTTCCAAAAGGCAACTGGACTTTCTTTGTTTTTGCTTGAAGACATTTCACTTCTCATTTAAGAAGCTTCTTCGGTTCTGCTGAACTGAAGAAGCTTCTTAGATGAGAAGTGAAACATCTTCAAGCAAAAACAAAGAAAGCCCAGTTGCCTTTTGAAAAAGCACTTCTGGGTCTCGCAAACTATGGAAAAGAGAAGTCATATTTGAATGATTCTCTAAGCATTTGGAAGTCCGCTCATATTTTCATATAAAATTCCAATTTATACATCTGTGGAATAGCCCTCACTTTTCAACTTCCTACTGGCTGCATCAGTGTTCTAGAAAGTCGTTCTTAGTACAATGAACTTTTTGATTGTTCAGCAAAACCATGATGCTGTTTTCCAGTTTACAACTGTTGATCTTCTTAATAGACTCCATTTCTGAGTTTTATCTTGGCAAGTTTGTCCTATGGCACAGCATGGATTCACTTAACTGTGCAATAGGAGCACACTTGATGTCTATAAGCATTGGCTTGTAGCTTTAGGATTTGTATTTTGAAAGGATGCTAGAAGAAATTATTGCCCTTGAGCTGAGTTTTTTCTTCAGTGTCCAACCTGGTTTGTGTTTTCCACTACAGTGATCAGCTAATCTGAACTTGAATTAAGTTTTGCAAAGTGAAGCACACACTGGGCTGAAAATGTATGTCACACTCTATTTTCTTTTTTTAAAGACATTTTGAGAGAGAAAGGCAAAGCTACTAGCTCTTTTCAGTCTTCTTTAATTCTTTCCATTAGCGGCTTTAGTTCTTTTGTTATCTTGATTGCTACTGGGGATTTTAAAGTGACTGGTCTTTCTAAACACCTTTAGGTATTATTTATTGGAATCAAATAAAAAGCTCAGAGAAAAACAATTGTGTCTTAAGTTATACCGCCCCCCTTTACATAGGATCATTATTTCCTAGATTTATTTCAGAATTTCTGTAAAGTCAGCTGATGGATTGATTGACTATGTACCATCAAGTCAGTGTTGATTTTTAGCAACCCCACAGATACACCTTCTCCATGATAACCCTAACCCAATCTGCATTCATCCCTACTTTA